TCAAGCTCAACAGGGTCTTCTTTCCCCGCTAATTTTTCCAAGCCCGTTCCCTTGGCAGTGGTTTCGCTAGATAGTGGGTAGGGACAGTGGGAATCTCGTTAATCCATTCATGCGCGTCACTAATTAGATGACGAGGCATTTGGCTAGTAAAATATTTATTTGTAAAATAAATACATGTACCCCTGGTCTAAGGGGGTTGGTCATTCAGAGTATTACAATTTTGAGGCCTTAGACTAAAGTGGCTGCGCGCCATATTCAAATAGAAAAATTATATTAACATACAAATACACACCTAGTTGTAAAATGACATCACAATGTATATAAACATGTAAATATAAATTAAGGATAAAAATAAAATACATTCACATACAAATACACACTTAGTTGTAAAGGGACAATCACAATGTATATAAACATGTAAATGTATATGACGCGCTCAGTACAGATGGACGGTACTGACAATAAGGACATAATGGTATATGAGCTAAACAAGTGAACAGTGAACAATGCCGATATTAAAACGATGGATAAAATAATAAATATATAAATAGTTAAAATACCGCAGAGGGCAGGATTAAAATGAGATAAAAGGCATCGCAAGCAAGCATGAGTACTCCATCGCAGCCGCGTCCGCGACTATCGCCTGGCGGGCGCAGGACGCCGTCGCCACACCCGTCTACCGAAGGCCGAGTGGATGGTACCACCCCATTTGAGCACCGAATGGACACAGGAGCGTCGCAAGGGAGCACCGATGTCTAGCGTGGACGAGGTCTCACCGTTACATCGTGGCCAAATTCCACGCGCACCGAGGATTATGGGCAGGACTGAAATGGTCTTTCCAGGCCATAATCCCCGGGCAGCGTCGTGGAACTTGGGGTTGTCATACACTGCCTTCTTGTTGGTGTACGTTTGGGCGAGAGGGATGTTCCCCTCCCAGTTGACCCCCACGTCCACCACAACGACCTGTTCCCCCTTCATGACAGCTATGTCAGGTTTGAAGAGGGTTCCGTCGCCGTGGCGGACGTACGGCTCCTCCAGGGTGGTCCAACCCTTCGCCCGGCAGTGTTTTGCAACCTTCTTGGCAACCTCGTTGTGACGCTTGATCCTTTCCCAGTGGGTACTGGGGCACTGCTGGAGAACGTGGCAGATCGACTCCACGCGTGAGCATCCAGCCCTACACATTTTGTTTTCCGCGGTGGCATACATGCCACCAGCTGTAGGGAGGTTGTTATTCCTTAGCTGGACAGCCCTTACGAAGTCCCTGCCGGTCCAGCCTCTGGGTTTTTCCTGAAGCCAGGAGCGACTAGCCGAATCATCGGTGGCATTCTCCATACCCGCTAGGGTAGGAGAAGCTATTAGTCGCTCCCGCCAAAGCTGTACCGCAGGAACCTCGCCAGTGAGCTGCTCCAGCCTGTGCATTAGCTCACGCGTGCAGTCACTCTGCAACGCCGCCGACAGCGCACGGTCATCATTGACTTCGATTAGTTTAGTTAGTCGATTCAGGAAAACACGAGGAATGTTGAGCTTCAGCTGCTGTACCCCAAGCCCGCCATCGCGTATCGCTGCGTAAAGGGCGGCGTCAGGAGTGTGCTCCGCAAGATGGAGCACAGACTTGACGCAGCCCTTCACCAGACGATCCACTGACCTCAAGGTGGCCGCCGTCACCTTTGGGTTTTGCAGGCCATAGAATAGCTTAGGGATAATGTGATTTTTGAGGATTGCGAACTTCTGGTCCGGCTTAAGAGGGGATCTCTTAAGATTGGCCAGCCAGGTCGGTAGATTAGCGAGGGAAGGGCGCATTAGTCCTTTGACGGACGCTTCATGGCCAAGATAACGGAAGCTGTTGACCTCCGTCACCATGGCCACGCGGCGTCCATCAATCGTAAGTTTGTAATCTTTCCTAGGCGCCAGGACACCCCTCGCCAATCCCACGACCATGGCTGAGCACTTTTTAGGGTTTAGTGCCATGCCCTTGGACTTCGCGAACTCAACAATCTCATCGAGGACCAGAGGGATATTCTCCTCCTGATCCTCGAGCAAGACTATGTCGTCCGCAAACGCCATGGCAGACACCCTCACCCCAGGCAATATTGTTCCGCCTCGCTCCCCATTATTAAGCCCGGCCAGAAGCTCATCAATCACTAGATTGAAAAGTAGCGGACTTAGCGGATCCCCTTGCTTTACACCGCAGCTAAACCCAATGTCCCTCGTCGTTTCCTGCCCCACCCGAATCTGTGTCACAGAGGTTGCCAAGTTTGTCGCAACGTAACGTATGGAACGCTCGTCCACCCCAAACCGTCTGAGAGCTCCCACAACGCTCCCATGTCCAACAGTGTCAAAGGCCTTCCGCAAATCGAGTGAAGCGACCGCGTACTCTTTATTGGAGGACACCCTATTTCGAATGTATGAGTGTAAAATCATACAATTCGCGAGAGTGCCGTCCAGCGTACTAAATCCGCGTTGATTGGCTTCCAGGGCGACGACCTTCCGCAAGCGGTTAGCCATCGCCCTGTGCATCAGTCGCTGGAGGGCACTCCCGATAGTAAGGGGCCTCCAATTCGCCGCCTCGCTCCGTTGGCCGTCTTTATATATAATTGTGGTCCTAGACCGCAGGAAGATGGCAGGGTGCACGTTTCTCATAAGGATTATTGAATATAAAACACATAGCACCCTGTTGTTCGTATTTTTAACCGATGCCACCGTTATTCCGTCAGCACCAGGTGCTGAGTTAGCCCATGCTGTTTTGGCTGCCTCTAGTTCGCTTTCTTCGAATGGAGCGAAAGTGGTGGCATCGGTGTTTCGTGGTTCGGGATGAACCGTCATCGTCTCCGTCGCAGCCCGCTCGAAGATCCCGCTATACAGCTCCTCAACCGCTTTTAGAGGTGGTACCTCTTCAGTAGAGTCTAGTGGAGTTCCTGAAATGATTTTATCCACTAGAGCTGATCTGTTACGGAGGTAGAGATCCTGGGCCTTTTTGTATGATTCTACCCGTGGACCTCTTCCTGGTCTAGTACCTCCGTAATTTGATTTTGGTCCACCTCTGTGACCATTTGGGTTGTATTTCCTTCCCCCTTTTTGGAAATCTTCTATTATCCAATTGTCTAGATAGGAGGCAAGATCATTAACCGCAAGCGATGATCCTGCCTGGCACAGGTCCGCCAGATGGCCGTTCCCATTGGCCAGCGCTGCTTCGCGTTCAGACGCGAGGTATTCGCGCAGCGCTGGTTCAATGACCACCTGGGTTTGTTCGACCTGTGCGGGGGAGTTGGCGGTGAGGTTGACTGCATCGGTGCGGGGTCTCCTTACTGTAGGCTGCGACAGAGGCGACATCGATTCATTCCGAATCCTCTTCCTGCTTGTCATCGGATCTGGAGTGATTGGCGATAGTGCGGACGCAACCGCGGAGGAGCACTCACCCTCTTTTACATCGTCGCGAGCTGTTGGTGGCGTCGATGTCGCTGCCTGATGGTCGATCTTCTCGTTCGTTGGGCAGGTGGGCGGCTCACAGGGCACACTGGGAGAAGGGATTGGTTGCTGTTTCTTCCTAGCGGCATCGAGGTATTGCTTATAGATGGGTTTATCCCTTCGATGCCGTATTTGGTCCTTCGTCAGACCTGATTCGGCAACCATTTTCGCCATAAAGGGGCCTTTATGTGACTGGATCTCGATGTTTGCCAGTATATCATAGATTTCGGAATCAGGCCTTCGTAGTTCCCTCCTCCTGCTGTCGTTTTCTGCTTCGGGGTGTGCCCTCTGCTCGTGAAGCCGCACCCCTGTGTATGTAGTAAAACCTGCTTTGCAATATTGGCATTTAGTTCGATCGCGCTTGCCACATGTTAGGAGATGTTTGTTGAGGCCACTTTTTGTCTCATAGGGCCTCTCGCATATTTGACACCTGTATGGTGCTGCATTGGCAGGCTGCAGGGTCACCGTATTACTGGGCCCTGGTATTGGAGAAACGGTATTCGAGCCTGCCAATTTGGTTCCGGTGGCTGTTGGGCCACCGGCAGTCGATTTTCCACCCGCTGGAGGGGATTTAACTGGTTCCCCCTCATTTATATCGAATTTCCTCTTGCGGGTGGGGTGACGTGACGTCATGTCACGTGTTCTAACTCTCTCTGCCGCAACAGCGGTTTTAAATGTCTTCCTCTTGGAATCCGCCATTGCGCATGCGCCGCTGTTGTTGAGTGTCTTTGGGTAGATTAAAGTACTGTCCTTTCCGCGTATGGGAGTGAAGACCGTTTGCCGCTACGTGGTCTGGTTCCGGAGATATCGCGTGTGAAAGATTTTATCTCCGGAACTACCTCCTCCCAGCTCCTGGTCTCCTGATACCTGGCCGCACTTAATACGGCCAGTACGGCGTTAACTGTCGAGTTATGGAGCTGAGATTTGGTGTGTGTCCTTGGGGCCGGTAGATGATTGATTGGACGCCTTTTTGGCCCCGTCGGACACGATGTACTTGCCAAAAGGGCACTAGCGGCTTGACGCCGGAAACCGGCGTTGCGGGGGGCAATCGAGCTGGTGTGATAGAGTCATAGTTACTCCCGCCGTTTACCCGCGCTTGCTTGAAAACCGTCTTTTTTTCCATAACTCGTATTGTCGATTCGATGTTTACGGCGAGTGTCTTTAAGTTGCTCATGCTTCTAGTATATTCAATCTCGTTTCGAGTAGGTTTGGTTATCTCGTATAAAGGCCCTCTGTAAGAATGTTGAGGTGAGAACAATAGAATATTTAAGACAGAATGTTGTAAATCGAGAAAGAAGTTAACAAAGTTGTTTCTGAAACTAACGGCGATATCTCTGAACACTAGTGTAATGAAGTAACATTTAGCAGGGCCACTTTTCAAATTTCTTATATGAAGAGTAAGCTTTAAAAGTAGTTGATTCTAACAACGAAAGTCCCAACTTTCAGAACACCTTGTACAAATAGATAAACTATGTAATTCCAAAAATCTGTTAGTATGATAGTTAGGTTGTTTGATGATTATTATTATTCCAAAATCAATCAATACAAAATACGACCATACTTACCCATTTCGCAATAGGACATCCTTGTGCAGTTTTTCCTTCCTTGCCAGTATATTTGATCTTTTCAATTCTAATTGCCTTTCCAAGTACTCCAGTACGACATTCCAGATCGTATCTCAAACTCTTCAGATCGTTTGCACATCCCAAATGCGTATAGTAAGTACCTGGCTCAGGCGGTACTTGATTCGGTGGAAAACACGTGCAACTTGGAATTTCCATCCCCATTTGCTTTTTTGACAGTTTCTCCGTTAGCATCGGGATATCGTTGGGTTGAAACGCACTCGTCATTAGAGATTCTGACATCGGGTAAGGGAAAAGTTTTGGCCATGATCCTGTAGGGATTTCATTGAACGAGTGGACATTCGAAGACGGAGTTGGTTTATCAGTTAGCAAAGGCCTATCATTCACAGCGTAGTTCATATTGCTTTTAGGATCACATGTCTTTATTTCTGGAGGCTGTTCCTTGCATTCATTCTTTACATCGTGATCACCATAGTTACCAACATTTTGAGTTGTACTGAGATTAGAGTAATGCATTGGTGGGATGAATCCATTCATATTACGATTAGTTATATATTCTTGTTTCACATGGTCAGGGTTGTATTCAAAATGTCTGTGGTGCTCGTTGGTGGATGGAATTTTGTCAAGTCTGGGTAGTTTAGTAAACTCACACATAGAACGAACACGCGCGCTGTACGGATAAAAATCGTAATAGCACTACATATATATATATATATATATATATATGTATATATGCTGTAGTCGTTACGCGTTTCGAACTTGCGCTGCGATCGTCGTGTCCGAGAGAGAAATTATTTTTTTCGAGATAACGACGTCTGATCGCATATACGCGCTAAACACTAGAGAACGCTTTCGACTAGTAGTAGTATAGCAGCAGCAGCTATACGATTTAGTATTAGCGATCGCGTGTGACATATATATCTGTGTGTGGTGTTGTGTTGTATATTGTTAACCGACCTCAGAGCAGGTGAGACTACCCGCTGAATTTAAGCATATTACTAAGCGGAGGAAAAGAAACTAACTAGGATTCCCTCAGTAGCTGCGAGCGAACAGGGAAAAGCCCAGCACCGAATCCCGCGGTCGATATCGGGCGCCGGGAAATGTGGTGTTAGGGAGGATCCGTTTATCCCGAGGTCGCGCGGCGAGTCCAAGTCCTTCTTGAACGGGGCCACAGCCCATAGAGGGTGCCAGGCCCGTAGTGGCCGCTGCCGATCGCGGGAGGATCTCTCCTCAGAGTCGGGTTGCTTGAGAGTGCAGCCCTAAGTGGGTGGTAAACTCCATCTAAGGCTAAATATGACCACGAGACCGATAGCGAACAAGTACCGTGAGGGAAAGTTGAAAAGCACTTTGAAGAGAGAGTTCAAGAGTACGTGAAACCGTTCAGGGGTAAACCTGAGAAACCCGAAAGGTCGAAAGGGGAAATTCATTCGCGTTTCGGCCGTCGGCGATGAGCGGTCGCGCGACGGACGGCGTTCGCGCGTCGTCCGCGCCTTTCGCTTTTCGATCCGGCGTCGAACGCGTGCACTTTTCCCCTAGTAGGACGTCGCGATCCGTTGGGTGTCGGTCTACGGCTCGCGGTGGAGTCCGTGTACGATCGTTTCGGCGATTCGTGCTCGAACCCGCGATGTTCCGGCCGACTCGCTCGACGGTATACAGATGGCGCGAGGCCGCTACTTCTTCAATTAGCGTCCGACCCACGACAAGCACGTTCGATGCTAAGACGGCGATCGGACCTAGCGCCCGGTTCCGTCCCCGGACGACTGTTGGTCGTGCGGATTTCTCGGACAGACCTCGTTTGAAACGCCGATCTGCGACGCTATAGCTTTGGGTAATTTCAGGACCCGTCTTGAAACACGGACCAAGGAGTCTAGCATGTGCGCGAGTCATTGGGACATAACTAAACCTAAAGGCGCAATGAAAGTAAAGATCCGCCTAGCGCGGATTTAGGGAAGATGGGCGGCACGTCTATAAAGCGGCCGCTCCGCACTCCCGGGGCGTCTCGTTCTCATTACGAGAAGAGGCGCACCAAGAGCGTACACGCTGGGACCCGAAAGATGGTGAACTATGCCTGGTCAGGACGAAGTCAGGGGAAACCCTGATGGAGGTCCGTAGCGATTCTGACGTGCAAATCGATCGTCGGAACTGGGTATAGGGGCGAAAGACTAATCGAACCATCTAGTAGCTGGTTCCCTCCGAAGTTTCCCTCAGGATAGCTGGCGCTCGTCTGTGACGAGTTTCATCCGGTAAAGCGAATGATTAGAGGCATTGGGGTCGAAACGACCTCAACCTATTCTCAAACTTTAAATGGGTGAGATCTCCGGCTTGCTCGAACTAATGAAGCTGCGAGAATCGAATCAGAGTGCCAAGTGGGCCATTTTTGGTAAGCAGAACTGGCGCTGTGGGATGAACCAAACGTCGAGTTAAAGCGCCTAAATCGACGCTTATGGGATACCATGAAAGGCGTTGGTAACTTAAGACAGCAGGACGGTGGCCATGGAAGTCGGAATCCGCCAAGGAGTGTGTAACAACTCACCTGCCGAAGTTACTAGCCCTGAAAATGGATGGCGCTGAAGCGTCGTGCTTATACTCGGCCGTCAGCGGCATGTGCGGTCTCGATCCGCGTAAAAACGGATCGGCCATGAAGCTCTGACGAGTAGGAGGGTCGCGGCGGTGCGCGCAGAAGGGCTGGCCGTGAGGCCGTCTGGAGCCGCCGTCGGTGCAGATCTTGGTGGTAGTAGCAAATACTCCAGCGAGGCCCTGGAGGACTGACGTGGAGAAGGGTTTCGTGTGAACAGCCGTTGCACACGAGTCAGTCGATCCTAAGCCCTAGGCGAAAGCCGATGTTGATGTGGCGTTGTTTTATAAATATATGTATGTATGTGTGTATATATAAAGAACACGCCCGTCGGGCGAAAGGGAATTCGGTTCCTATTCCGAAACCCGGCAGCGGAACCGTACAATAGTCGGGCCCTCGCAAGAGAGTTCGTCGGGGTAACCCAAAAAGACCCGAAGACGCCGTCGGGAGACCAGGGAAGAGTTTTCTTTTCTGCATAAGCATTCGAGTTCCATGGAATCCTCTAGCAGGGAGATATGGTTTGGAATGCGAAGAGCACCGCAGTTGCAGCGGTGTCCTGGTCTTCCCCTCGGACCTTGAAAATTCGGGAGAGGGCCACGTGGAGGTGTCGCGCCGGTTCGTACCCATATCCGCAGCAGGTCTCCAAGGTGAAGAGCCTCTAGTCGATAGAATAATGTAGGTAAGGGAAGTCGGCAAATTGGATCCGTAACTTCGGGATAAGGATTGGCTCTGAGGATCGGGGCGTGTCGGGCTTGGCGAGGAAGCGGGTCGCGGCTGACGTGCCGGGCCTGGGCGAGGTGAAACGTTCTGTCGTATGCGTTCGCGCGTGTGCGGTAGGATTGCGGATCCGAACTCGGTACCGTGCCTTGGCCTCCCGCGGAACCGTCTTGCTGCGAGGCCCAGAGTGCGCTCGCAAGGGCGTTCTGGTGTCCTCTTCGGCCGCCATTCAACGGTCAGCTCAGAACTGGCACGGACCGGGGGAATCCGACTGTCTAATTAAAACAAAGCATTGAGATGGCCCCTGCGGGTGTTGACTCAATGTGATTTCTGCCCAGTGCTCTGAATGTCAACGTGAAGAAATTCAAGCAAGCGCGGGTAAACGGCGGGAGTAACTATGACTCTGGCGGTCAAAGGTTCCTGACCTCCACGCGGTGACTGCTGGGCAACGCTCATCCACCCGCCTTACCTTTGGTTAGGCATTTGAACGAGGATGACGGCTAACTAGGAACCAGCCCCCCGATTACCCGGTCGGGGCCTGTCTGCGGACAGTCATAAGGGGTCGGTATGGAAACCGAGGGCGAGATACAGACCACCTTGTATCTTACCCCTTAGGGGAAGACATGCACTTGGCCCAGCCAGCCAAGCTGCATATGATAAAAGGCTACGACACATAGAAACATAGCCTCGGAAGATCGGGGTGGTGATGGGCCCACACCATCCCAAAATCCTAGACCAGGGGCCCATGATGATGGAAATGGCGAGGACAAGGACATTGAGATTTTGCTCCCCTATATAGAAAGGTCATGCCCCCTATGCCTCAAAAGAAGCATTAACATCCTGCACATGACCTTAAATGATGAAATAAAACATGTAAAATCTGATCACAAGGATATACAAATCAGATTCAAATGCAGGATGTGCTCAAAAATGTATATAGCAAAACATGCGGCACTGTGTCACGTCCCCAAGTGCCCGGTGGGAGCTGCTGCGGCAGCCCCACCTCCAGAGTCAACAGACTCAGAGACTGACGGAGTACCAAGTAACAGGCCTATACCCGAATCGGTAGGCGTGGCCTGCCCCGATTGCGGCGAAAGGTACTCCGGCCGCGGTGCACTAACACAGCACCAGCGGCACCGGCATCCACTCACCCGAAACGAAGCTAGGGCAGCGGGTACACGGCGGTCTCCTCGACAAAGAAGATTGGTTATCTTTACTGAAGAGGAGGAACAAATAATGATGGAGTGCGAACTCCGGTACCGGGGTGAGTTGCGTATAGCAATGCGCATGCGGGAGTTGATACCAGAGAAAACTTTGAAACAACTCCGGGACAAAAGGGCCCAAAAATGCTACAAAGAACGGCGTGAAAGGTACCTCGCAGAAAGAGGGATCACAGCGTGCGCTAGTACTGATGATGACAGTACAGAACCAGTATCCACAGACACAGGGGATGGTAGAGCTACCGTCCCCCAAGAAGAAGCGCCCGAAACCAACAGCTGCGAGGAAGCGGGAATAGGGGGTGGCTCCCCTATCCCAGTCCCGGAGCTACTCGACGTATCAGCAGTAGCTGCCATTGCAGGGGGTGAAAATAACGTTAATAATATCACCCCCACCGCCGAAAACATAAGTCCGACTCAGACGCCTGACATGTCAGAGAGGGTACTGAATGTCAGTGAAGATGAGTTGGTATCGCCAGCAGCTTCTCCAGAAGAGATACTTTGGAGACAGGATGTTGCTCAGACTGCCCGTAGCTGCAAGTTGACTCGAGCGGCACAGCAACATCTGGAGGTGAACACGGTCACCCAGCTGCTTAGAAATGCAATCTCCGAGGCTTGCGATTTGCCTATGGGGCAGCCCCAATCGCAAATAGATACTTTACATGATAGAGTCACCGCTCTCTTCGTCAGCGAGGAGCGGGGAGTTGCAGGGCGACGAAAGGGAAGGCGTAGAGGACAAAATAAGAGGGGTAACAGACGGTACCTCTACGCCCGTACCCAGGATATTTACAAAAAAGAGCCAGGCATTCTTGCCAAGCACGTCCGTAACAACGTGGACTGGCTGGAGGAACCAGGGGTAAAAGCTCCAGCCCAAGACGTGCGGGACCTGTACAAAAAGCTTTGGGGCACAAATCCGTCGGAAGTACAGGTGCCCTTCCTGGGAGAGCCCTCCGAACCGGCACTTGGGTTAGGTACTGTG